TTAAAAATGCAAAATATTGCCGTTTAGCTTAGACTGGTCTTGATTTCACAATGTCTCCCAGTCTTGATTCTGAATTTTTGGTTCATCTCTTTTGATCCCTGAAATCGTTGGATTGTCTGTGTATTACCATGTCTGGATTAAAATATACATTTAAAACATGACGTGATTGTTGTTATTGTATGTTTTACTTCAGTTAACACAAAGAAGAAAGTTGAATTATTTCTTATATGAAGCATAAATGTAAATTTTTATTTTTAAGTAAAATATAAATATATAAAATAAATACATAAAACATGTGACACTGAACTGAGTGTAGAGCAAAAATAGAAATAATTTCCCAATTTTCAGTGTACATTGTCTCTTGGAATGGAATTGTTTCCTTAATCCAAAATATTAAGATTTCTACCCTTCTATTCACAGTAATTCCTTCTTTTGACTCTGAAGGAATCAGGTTTTTCTGTTTGTCTTTCTTCTTGAACTGTTTCTTTTTTAACTAGAACACACAGGAGGCACTTTTAATACCAGAAGTTTCTTTTGATTAGAAGGATCTGTGGGCTTTTTTGTCATGGAAAGTACAAGAGGGAGTTTATAAGAAAAATAACATCAAATCTGGAAAAAAAACATTTCTAAAGCCAAGAACTGGTGGCTAATGATTAAACCTGATAATGGAACAGTGATAAGATCTTGGGCTCTTATAGTAACTTCTACTCTCATGGTAATACTGAGGTTCACTAATATTTATGAACTTAGGTCTGGAAATGTCAAAATAGCCTTCATGAAATGTTATTATGTTCTCATAGCTTTCATATTCAGATATAAAATTTATTGTTTTTATTTAATAAATGGCATTTTACTAGGAGAAAAAAGAAATAAAATTACTCAGAGAAATGATTCTAGTATATTATTATTATTAAGTGAAAAGGCCATTAGAGAGTGCAGATCATGTTTGAAAATCCTGGATTCTAAAACATTTTCAATTGGTATATTGTCCCACTCTTTCAGTTTTGGAATAATACTGACATGAAAGAATATGAAGATCATAGACTGAAGAGATGGACAGCATCTAAGGGTATCGTCTGCTCTTGCAGAGGACCAGAGTTCAGTTCCTAGCACATGTATAGGTTAGCTTACAACCATCTAAGCCTCCAGCTCTAGGGAATCTTAGAACTTACCCTGTGTCTGCACACACATGCACACACTCTTCCCCCACCATAAATTTGCACAATTAATAACAAAATAAATTCTAAAAATGAATAAGAAGATCATACCAAATATATTTCAGTTTACTAAAATGTTATTAATAATAGAAAATGTATGGACTTTAAAAATAATAACACTTTTACAAAATAGCAATACTTAAAATGTTTATCTCCTAGTAATCTGCATTATGTATCTATCACTTCAAATTAATCTTTCTCTTTTCTAATTAATTAATTTATTTTTCTATAGATAACAAAGTTCAGGCGTATGTTTAAATTCTCTCAGCTTCAAGGTCTCACATCTAAATAAGTGGTAAGCCTGAGATTTTTTATCTCAAGACTAAACACTTACATTTGCATCCAAAGAGTCTCTGTTCTCCTAAAATGTAAGCGCTGAGATTTTAGGAGTAAATTAAAACAGGAATTTTAATTTTATAAACTTATTTGTAACCTCTGAATGCAGCCCAATACACTGCACCTCAAACATAGGGAAGAATAGAACATAGATATTTCCTGAAAACTCCAACATGACATTGCCAATATTGTAGAAGATGATAATGGGCTACCAGGGATAGAAAGATGTGTATGGTTGCGTTTTTCCCTAACAAACATTGAGAGCTTCAGAAGGGAGAAGCTCATTAAGATTGACAGGCAGCTTTTGACATCAAAGATCAGTTTCTGCATCAACAAGAGCATGCTACACTCTTTGTGATTCCTTAGAAAATAAAGTATCTTGCTATGATCAATGTATTTAGTTCAGCTGAAAGATTTTTCAGAGGGTAAAAATAATAGTCAATGTTTGAGAGCATAGACTTTGTAGTCTCTCAGTGCAAGGTTCATGTGGAATTGTTGCAAAGACGGTTTTCAGTAGGTTACAAACCAGTGAAGTGCTGGTTTCAATTGTGAAAATTAAAGGTTTAATAATGAAAGCAAAAATGAAGTGTGAGCAGACAAAAGGCAAGAAAGAGGCTATTTAAGGTGTACCTGAAAATTTGTGTACATGGGTACAAACTCAAGAAGTAGGACAGGAGAAGTAACCGAGTCTCAAACTTCCCCACTTTTTCTAAAAGCAGAGGGTCCAGGTGATTAGGATTTCAGGTAGGTGGGAAGTTGAGGAGAAAACAAAGCCATTATTTTCTGGCCATAAAAGATAAAGAAAATAGCAATAAAGACTACTTAGTATGTGCATCCTTATTAAATTATTACAGTGATCTTCTAAGTGAGACGTGAATCCTGTAATTTTTTTTTTTTTTTTTTTTTTTTTTTTTGTGAATGAACACAAATCTACAGATTAGCTTTTCCAGGCTTGGACCATCTATCCAGGGTGCTTGTAGAAGCTTATATCTCACCAATGACATTGGATTCTAAATCCCCACTCTCTCTAATATCTACATCCTTCTAAGCAGTGTCCTTCAGAGCATTGTTCTCAATATGTATTCTGTGATTAAAAAGGCATTTTATAAGAAAAATTAATTTGAGAATTTTTTCACACCACAGCTATTCCCAACGCATTCAAAAAATATTTGTATTAACTTAATGTGAGACTGCTTGAGTGTATGCCCTGTGTGTGCAGTGCCCAGTGTAGCCAGAAGAGGGCATTGTGAGCAATCTGATGCAGGGGCTGGGGATCAAACTCGGGTTCTCTGGAAGAGCAGTAGCATGTGCTTTTAACCACTGACCTGTATCTCCAGTCTGCATGCTCTCAGGCTATTTTAAATTTATAGTGGCATCCCAAAGTTCATGAGGACTACAGAAGAGGAGTGGGGTTAACCCTGTTCACCACAGAACTTCCCAAATGAATTAGATTTTGGAGATGTTTTGCGTGGTTAAAATACAACACCTGTTACGATCCACAAACCCGGTTATAGTGGAGGCTTCGCGTGCAGAACACCAACTTGTGCAAACAAGCACAAGAAAGCATGAGGGTGTGGACAGGTATGAGAAGGCTTCGGCAATGGTAAGTGTGTGCCACATCACAGAATGCTCAAATGGAAAGCTGAGAGTGAATTTAATCTTCTACACAAGTTGGAAAGAAATCTTGAAGGATTTGGGGCAAAGAAGTGATGTGTTAATACAATGCCCATATGCCTAGAGTATTTTATAACAGTTACTGGTAATTTAGTAATAATTTCTCAGACATCACTACCTCTGCTAATATTTAGTGACTCTATCTTTATAAAAGAACATTTACATCTCAAGTAGAGTAAATGCCAAACTTCACTAGAATAATGGTTTTACGATTTTGGTCTGTCCTCATCCATCTCTTAAAATCGTTGTTTTAATGGATTTATCTTTTATCATGATTAAAAAACTGTGGAATAATACGACCCAGGACAACCTTTGTTGCAATAACTTATGCGATTAATAGCTCAAATGTTTTCACACTCAACATGTCAGTTGAAGTTTGTTTTCTTTTAGGTTGTGTAAATTGTTTTTCATCGATAAATAATGTTTTAAATGGAAATTTGTATCACTTGTGCTATAGTTGCTCGAGGCACATAAATGTAAGCCCTTGATATAAATAGATCACTTATACCTCATGCTCTAAAAACATGAACATCCCAGAATTCCTTGCAGGCTTATCATCATCAGTTGTTGATAAAATGCAATGCTTCTTAAAAAACGTTACTGGAGCACCTTCCCATACTAGTTTGGGGATTGGGATTAGGAGGTTTTCTTATAGACTACTCAAAACGATTTCTTGTGATGAGATCATAAGCAATGCAAGGTACCAAGACATAAAGATATTCACAAAGCTCTGAAAAGACTGACCTCTTAGGTCAGTGAAAAGGGAAGTGAAGTCCCACTCAGACTCTAACGTAATTGCACAAGAGCAGTAGTGTTCAGTTAGTCAAAACTTGTTAAAGAATCATGTGTTTGAGAGAATCATGAGACCTCATTGATGCTCATATAAGGCCAGAAACTTAGCAAACATGAGAAAACAATAAGCAATAGATAAAATCTGATGTATGTCTACAGGACACAAGTGAAAATAAACATGTATGTGTTTACATACATATATTTGTACATATTCTCTTCCGCTGTTTCTAAAAAATAGCAAATTGTTGAAACAGCAAATCTTATAGACAGGAAGACTAAGACCCAAGAACCTAATTGTGACAATAATCCAAGATGCTCATGAGTAGATGATGGGAATTTTTTCTTTTATTGAAAATGGATTCTTTTCTCATACAATATATCCCAATTACAGTTTCTCCTCCCTCTACTTCTTCCAGTCCTTCTCCTCCTCCCCTCCCTTCCTGATCCACTCCCTTTCTGTCTTTCTTTAGAAAAGAACAGGCTTCTAAGAGATAACAACTAAACATGACAAAATAAAATATAGTATTATAAAACAAAAACCATAATGCTGAGGCTGGACAAGACAAGCCAACAGAAGGAAAAGAGACCCAAGACCATGCTGTAGGATGTCTTTCTCTACACTATGAATATGTTTTATTACCATTGGTTAATAAGAAGCTGCTCTGGCCAATGGCAAGGCAGGATACAGCCAGGTGGGAAATCCGAATAAAGATACAGGAAGAAAAAAAGGCAGAGTCAGGGGAGATGCTGCAAGCCACTGGAGGAGCAAGATGTAGTAGAAAACAGGTAAAGCCACAAGACATTTAGTTATACATAGATTAATAGGAATGGGTTAATTTAAGATGTAGAGCTAGCTGAGTAAGCCTGAGTCATAGACCAAGCTGTTTGTAATTAATATTAAGCCTCTGAGTGATTGTTTTATAAGCAGCTATGGTACTGTGGGGCCAGGTGGGACAGAGAAAGTCTTCAGGCTGCATTTGGTGCCCAACATGGGGCTCAAACCCATGGCCCTGAAATTGAGAGTCTCATGCTCTACTGACTAAGCTAGTTGGACTGGACGGTGGTGGCGCATGCCTTTAATCCCAGCAATCGGGAGGCAGAGGCAGGTGGATCTCTGTGAGTTCGAGGCCAGCCTGGGCTACAGAGCGAGATCCAGGAAAGGTGCAAAGCTACACAGAGAAACTCTGTCTCGAAAAACCAAAAAAAAAAAAAAAAAAAAAAGATATCAAGAATTTATTAAAGTATAAAATGTGGATAATACACTTACTCATACACAAAAAGGAAGCCACAGTCACCAATCCAGTTGCCAAGTCTTGCCATTTTGCCCTGGTGAGCTGGATATCAATTGCAAGCTGCTCCATACCACCTAATATGGTCCTTGCCACCCAAATGACAGTGAGCACACCCCCTCCTCATTTGAACCAGTCATGTACCCAGAAAAGACCAAACCCATTGGGCCAGATAGCCCAAAGGTCATTGGCTGAAGAGAATAAATTCCCACAATAAGAGTAGGCACAGAAATCAGAGACCCACTCATTCACACTCTTAGGAGTCCCATAAAAATACTAAGCTGAAAGCCATTATAAACATGCAGAGGACGTGATCAGATTTGTGTAATCCTTGTGCCTGCTGCTTCAATCTCTGTGAGTTCATATGAGCTTTGCTCAGTTGATTTATCAGGCCTTGTTCTCCTCATGTCCTCCATCGCTTCTGGATCTTACTTTTTTTTTTTTTTTTTTTTTTTTGCCTCATTTTCAAAGGTGTTCCCTGAGTTCTGAGGGGGAGGGATTTGATTGAGACATCCCATTTAAAGCTGTGTATTTCAAGGTCTCTCTTTCTCTGTAATCTGGCTATGGATCTCTGAAGATGTTACCATCTGTTGCAGGAGGAAGCTTTTCTGATGATGACTGATCTATGAATATAGCAGAATAGATGATTGGGAATTTTTTATTTCTTTTATGGAGGAGAATATTTTGACAGTACTTCTTCCCGCTTCTAACCAAGTCTAATATAGCCTGTGATGTATTTAGGGAGGGCATATGCAGGGGTGAGTAATGAGCAGACATATGGGGAGGGAGACTGAGGTACAAAGTAAAGAGGGAACTATATCCTAGGAAGACTCTTCTGTGTATCTGGACCCTCCCTCAACTATATTCTACACCTTAGAGTATAAGGTCTTCAAAATTGTATCTCAGGATATCCTTTAGAAAAGAGGAAGTGAAAGAATTTATTCCCCATCTCCCACTCATCAAACTGTTTACCCTGGGACGCTGATTATGGTACATTTCCCAGTTTCATACGAATATTTACTAAGTAATCAGGACAGTATCTTTTACTGTAGTGCCATAGAAGTAGCCACTGTCTAATTCAAGAGGCAATGTGGTTGGTTTTGAGGGATATAATGTCCATGTGAAATTAACCGGAGTGTACATGGGGGGAAATTACATGTTACTATCAGGGAAAACACACATGTTCAAAAGACACAGACACCCAGAGAGTGACAGTGTTTGATATGAATATGGTCATGCCTTTCTGTCCCCCAAGTCACTGATTCCACAAAGACTTTCTTATCCATTTATTCCTTGCCATGATAATTTTTCTTGTGCCAATCATTTTATTGTTTTAGAGCACACATTATATAGTATTTTCTCTCTCTCTCTAGGATGACTTAAAGCCCATAATTTCACAGACTACTATAATGTCATCATCTTCTACCCAGTACCCAGTATAGTACCTTGAAGGCAGTAGGAGCCTAGGAAATACTTGCTGAATAAATAAATGAGTAACCTGAATAAATGACTTGTTCAATATTTCTCAGCTAACAGGAAATCAGAGCAGAAGTTAATATTGATTGCCTGATCTGAAGACAGTATTTTGATAAACTGTGGTCTAAATTATAGAGAAGTGGATTATAAGATAGTGAATAAGTTAAAGGCATGTGCCTCTCCAAACTTCTCCAAACTGACCTTTGCCGACAGATGCTTTGTTGCAACACGATGGTCCTGGTAATTGTTCTCTGAACAAGCAGCGGTAAACCCTTCATCTCTGGTAGCAGTATCGCCATCGCCACCACCAAGAAGCAGCTCGTAGCTCAGAGCAGAAGCCACCACCTCCATGGTCCTGCCGCCACTGCTTGTGGCCCGGCCTCGGTCTCAGCTTCTCCTCAGCAAGCCTCCCAGGTTGGCCTGGAACTTGGTATCCTCTTGCTTCTGTCTCCTTTAGCAAATCCTACTGGCATGCAACCAGCCGCATACAGCTCGGGCCTGAGTTGGGGCCCGCAGGGCCACAAGCAAGTAGCTTTTTCGTGAATTCGGACCCAACAAGTTGGGCACCAGATGTAACATGAATTTTAGAAGGTCTTATTAAACAAACAAACAAACAAACCCAGGGGAGCCAGGAATTGTGAATTCTGAAAGATCAGAGGAACAGAATAAGCCATAGCTAACCTGACCTCGCCAACTGCTCAGCTGATCCTGTTTCCGCAAACTGGAAGCCTCTGAGTCCTCATCTGAATGGATCTCAGCTGAACTGCTGCTAAAAGCCTAAAAGATTAAAAAGGCTCCAGTTCCTGGTCCTCATGCCTTATATACCTTTCTGCTTTCTGCCACCACTTCCTGGGATTAAAAGCATATGTCTTTCTCAAGCAAGACATGAGATCTCAAATGTTGGGATTAAAGGCATGTGTTGCCTTGCCTGGCTGTTTTCAGTGTGGCTTTGAATTCACAGAGATTCAGATGGATCTCTGCTTCCAGAATGCTAGGATTAAAGGCGTGTGTGCCACCATTTTCTGGCCTCTATGTCTTCCTAGTGGCTGTTCTGTTCTCTGACCCCAGGTAAGTTTATTAGAGTGCACAATCTATTGGGGGACACAATATCACCACAGCATATGGGTTAAGCTTCATCTGTCTTAACTCATTCAGGCCTGCACTCTCAACAGCAGTTGTTGCAATGATGATGTTCTGTATCTGTGTTCTCCAATGTGCTACCCACCTAGACCCACCTGATTACTTAATGCAAACAACTGGACATTTAACTCTCATCAATTCAAGTTTAAATGGCCACACATGGTAACTCATCATCATACTGAACACAGTATCTGACAATATTCTTAAGATTGAAGGCTCATCTTTTAGTGTCTAACGGACTGACAAATGAATCGCTTCTAAATATTTGAATCACGTGGGTCAATGATTTGGCTCAACTTTTGCATTTTTACATTTTCTCTCTAGAATTTTGTAGGGGAATTCATTAAATAAAAGGAGGGTTTTGTTTATAACCTTGAAATAAAAAGTGCTTTGGGGAAGCATTTATTGGATTACTTGTCAAAATTACATGAATTTGGCCTAAAGCAATCTTTGTACTTAAAAGGTAAGTTTGGAACAATTTGTCTTCCATATGGAGTGAGACACAAGGTGGTTCTCCCTGCAAAAATGTTCTTGTCACTAAGCAACTGAGTCTCATTCAATCACAGCAGTCAGGCCCAAAACAACTGTATACTATTCGTTGGTACTAAAGATATGCACTGCGTACAGACAATTGTCTGTGTATGCCCCCTTTTTTTCTCTGGCTATTAATGGTGAGATGGTTCACTCTGAGTTGTCTTTGGCCCAGAATTTCCACATCATTCTAGAATTCCCTTCTTGTTTTAATAAATGTTGTTAAATCAAGCTGGTCTCATAGAATGGTATAATGTCTGTTTTCCTATTTGTTCTCTGAGTTGGACTCAGATTGGACTCAGTATCAAGGTGCTAGGATATATGAATTCTTAAAATCAGAAATAGGTTGATCTGGACCCCTCAATCCAGTACTACCTACATTAAATATCCATGCTTCCACTCTTCTCAGATGCGTTTATGCCTTCGTGATCTGGTTTGATATAAATTATTTGCAAATAGGGAGAAATCACTGGCTTGTATACTCAGGGGAAGACAATACAGTGAGGACCTGCTGTAGATGATGGATTGATAATTAAAGTTCTGATTGGCCAGTAGCCAGGCAGGAAGTATAGATGGGACAAGGAGAATTCTGGGAAGTGGAAAGCTGAGTCAGAGAGATGCTGCCAGCTGCCGCCATGAGAAGATGTTAAGATACTGGTAAGCCACAAGCCATGTGGCAACTTATAGATCAATAGAAATGGGTTAATTTAATATATAAGAACGGCTAGCTAGAAGCCTGAGCCATTAGGCCAAACAGTTTAAGTAATAAAAGTCTCTGTGTTTACTTGGTTGGGTCTGAGTGGCTGCGGGACTGGCAGGTGAGAGAGATTTGTCCTGACTGTGGGCCAGGCAGGGCTAGAAATACTCTAGCTACAGAGGACCCCTCCATTCTGCTTTCCACATTCTCAATGTGGATAGAAGAAGGTTTCTAGACTCCACAGAACTGGTTTCTGAGTATGTGGAATATTACTTCATTACCTCCCAGGCTTTACTCTTCCTGGAAGAAAACTGCCCTAACCTTTACCAAAACTGAGCATCAGTGTGGAGTTAAGCACATTCCTTAAAATATCCCTGCAAAACAATGACACAAGAAGCAGCACTGGCTACTGCCGTCCTTTTTATCCTTGTGAATTCGCATGCATTAAAAGGAGAGCATGAGAGACATTCAGTCCAAAGAATGCATTCTATTATAATAAAAACATAATTTGTTATAGTTTCAAAATAATATGAACAGTGATAAAGCTGAAGGAAACGTGATAGAAAATTGGCATGCATTTAATGACCACCCCCCACCACCAAAGAAAGTTAATTGTAAACATCTGCCCCTGTGTACCAGGTAAATATCTTTTTAGGTCTAACTTAAATATCTCATGATATAATATACATTCATTTCATTTTTGTGATGCCCAACAAAGTAAAATATATGAACTGCTTTGCCTGAGGGATAAGCCATAATTTGTTTAAAGATCAATAACTTTGTAACTTCTTAGCTTTCTCCAGGGTAATGTCATTCTGCCCTATGCTCTGTCCAGTTCTCTGCTGCTGTTTCAGGGTGATGAGTGTCACCATTATTTCCACCGTGCCTCGACGTGCCAAGTGAACTGCACACAGCACTCAG